GGATCAGCTGGAGACCTTACACTGCCATTAAATTTTTCTACTTTTATAAAGTGAAAGATATGCAGGTTGTTTATGCCTTGACAATTCCATGTAGAAGTGACACATTACAGGAGTGCCTGGGTGGCTCAGTCCGTTGGGTGTCCGACTTCAGCTCAGGTCATGATCTCACAGTCGGTGAGTTTGAGCCCCGCATTAGGCTCTGTGCTGACAGCTCAGAGCCTGGAGCCTGCTTCGGATTCTGTGTCTCCCTCTCTTTCTGCCCCTCCCCTGCTCAAGCTCTGTCTCTCTTTGTCTCAAAAATAGATAAAAACATTAAAAAAAAAAAAAAAAAAAGAAGAAGAAGTGACGGGTTACTATTTTTCCCTACAGCAAGGACTAAGACTCAAAGGAGTTACAGGTCTAGATGAAGACAATACAGCTAGTTAGTAACAACACTGGAACTGAAATAAAATGTAACCATTATGACCACCAGGACATTGCTCTTTGTCCTCTGCTAACCTTCCTTGCACTTTAGCTTTCAATTGTTTTGTAAGCAATTATGTGTCAAAACAGAAACCTCTACTGAGCCAAAGGCTTATATTTTTAGCAAACATTTACTGAAGGCCTATTATATTATGTCCCAAGTGCTGAGGATAAGAAGAAGACAAATAAGATATACCTATCTTAAAAGAGACATTTTCTGGGGTGCCTGGATGGCTCAGTCAGTTGAGCATCTGACTTCGGCTCACGTCATGATCTCACGGTGTTCTGTGGGTTCGAGCCCCAGGTTGAGCTTTGTGCTGACAGCTTCAGATTCTCTGTCTCCCTCTCTCTCTGTTCCTCCCCCACTAGTGCTCGCTCTCTTTTTTTCTCTCTCTCTCTCCCCCTCTCTCTCTCTCTCTCCAAAATAAAATAAACATTAAAATATATATTCAAAAAAAGAGATATTTTCCAAAAAGGGAAAAAAGACCAAGAAACATAAAAATACTGAAACCTTTAAAAGGGATGTAACACATGTGACAGTGGAGGTATGTCCAAATGCTGTGGGGAAAGCCCCATCTCAACATGAGGCAGTTGAGTGGCACTTCATCTGTCTTAACATGTGGGTTTGTGGGGGGCGGGGTACAGAAGAACAGTAGACCAAGGAAACACCACCTACAAAGCAGGAAGGAAGGTTGCAGTTTGGGGTTATGAGACAAAGTATCAGGAAATTAGCCTAGAAGGGTAAATTGGCACCAGACTGAAAGGGGCCGTATTTGTCAAGGCAGGAAGTTTGGATTTCAGAGGTGGAGACTGACAAAAAAAATAGATCTGTATTTTACATCAGCGAGTGTGGCAGCAGTAAGTGGATGTTCTGAGGTACGGGCATATTACAAGAAGAAACAATGATGCTATTGTATCATGACCTTTAATGGCATGTTTATTTTTCTCTATTCCCAATGTTCCCTTCTTTTGAGGATGATATGCCATAAAAATGAATTCTGGGGGGCGCCTGGGTGGCTCAGTCGGTTAAGCGTCCGACTTCAGCTCAGGTCACGATCTCGTGGTCCATGAGTTCGAGCCCTGCGTCGGGCTCTGGGCTGATGGCTCGGAGCCTGGAGCCTGCTTCCGATTCTGTGTCTCCCTCTCTCTCTGCCCCTCCCCCGTTCATGCTCTGTCTCTCTCTGTCTCAAAAATAAATAAACGTTAAAAAAAATTTTTTTTAATGAATTCTGGGCAATTTCAATATTCTAAGATGGGAACTAAGGCTATTGATTGTCATACAACATTATCTAATTAATCAGCCCCAAATAAATAGTCCTGCATGTTTGTGCTCTCTCTCTCTCTCTGTCTCTTTCTCTGTCTCTGTCTCTCTGTCTCTGTCTCTCTCTCTCTCTCTCTCTCTCTCTCTCTCTATATATATATATCCCATAACCAGAAATCAACATTTTACAAATAGAAACTAGGTCAATATAAAAGGAAATACTTATTTTTACTTGCAGTTACTTTATTTTTTCAAGTTTATTTGAGGAGAGAGAGAGAGAGCATGAGCAGGGGAGGGGCAGAGAGAGATGCAGAGAGTGAGAATCCCAAGCAGGCTCTGTGTGGTCAGCACAGAGCCCGATGTGGGGCTCAAACTCATGAACCGTGAAATCATGACCTGAGCTGAAATCAAGAGTTGGACACTTAACCAGCTGAGCCACCCAGGGCACCCCCCTGCAGTTACTTTAAAAGAAAGGCACATTGCTGCATTTTAATTAACTGAAACCAATGACAGACAACCAAGACATGGGTTCTCTTCAAAGACATTTTTCCTTTGACTCATTAGGTTACTGTGGAAATCAGAATTTTCCTTCAGAGACCTGTATTTTTCAAATATGTTTTTGAATCCCTGCTCATGTCCTCTGCAGAACAGCATCATCATACCATCAGCACTCTAAGAAACGTTTAGCATTAAGTGTTGAAATGTAAAGAGAATCCCTAAAATCAAACCCAATTCTGCTCAATGAATAATAAACCCTAAGAGTCCATGACCATATCACCTTGAAGGTGTCCCATCTTATCTGATCTCAGAAGCTAAGCAAGGTCGTGCCTGGTTAGTACTTGGATGGGAGAATAATATATCCTAAGACACTATTTAAATCCATCTATTTAAGAGCTCTTGGTTTGTTTTTGGTTTTGGTCTTTCCATTATCAGCTACCTAGTGTTCACAGTTAGAAAAAAAAATTAAGTTTATTTTGGATCATGAAAATTTTCACTTTGTCAGGATAGTGGGGTTTTTTCTTATAAAAATGTTAACAATTCTGGAGGCAATTTGCTCTGCACACCTTTGAAAATGAAATAAATGCCACAATTATGCCAAGCAAAGTGAAAGAGATTATGCTCCATAACGGAGATGAAATTCAAGACAGAATCCAAAAAATCTCAAACCCCTATCCATTCGGTATTGCAGCAGGGGTTTCACCCAATGGAACCACTGATCGATCATGGAACTCAACATTATAAAATTTTATTCCTCAGTTCCAGTCTTTTAAATTTTTATGAAATTGTGACCTTAAAAAATAAGTAAATAAGGGGCGCCTGGGTGGCTCAGTTGGCTAAGTGACTGACTTTGGTTCATGTCATGATCTCGAGGCTCATGAGTTGGAGCCCTGTGTTGGGTTCTGTGCTGACAGCTCAGAGCCTGGAGCCTGCTTCAGATTCTGTGTCTCCCTCTCTCTCTCTGCCCCTCCCCCACTCATACTCTGTCTCTGTCTCTCAGAAATA